CAACACCCCCAGGTCCTTTTCCGCCAGGCAGCTTTCCAGCCACTCTTCCCCAAGCCTGTAGCGCTGCATGGGGTTGTTGTGGCCTAAGTGCAGGACCCGGTACTGACCTGCACTATCCTCCACGCTGACTTGATACAGTAACAAGTTGAAAACATAGGTAATTTAAAATAGGAAGTTCAAAACATGTTCAACTTGAAACTACAGGGGAGTCTCATAAACAAGCTTTGGGTATCTGAGACACTTTAAGATGTTGCTGACCCTGGGCGTTTAATCACCTCTCTGCCAGGGATGAGCAGCCTGTAAGAAAGGGCAACAAGAGGGGGTACGTTCTGCCTTCGGGACCCAGGACCCCATTCGCAGCCTATGCATCAGCTCAAGCCACCCAAAAAGAAATGTGAGTTATGACGAGGGAAGCAAACTCCAGTGACTGAGGTGCAGCTATTGCTGACTCTTCCGTACAGACTGCAATCTGAGGGGTGGGGAAAAGGCGACCAGCTGGCAGCATCTTAAACCACAGCACCTAAGGCTTCCAGAGCACATCTGTCAGAGCCATTCGTGAATAAATTTGAGCATAAGAGTTTGTAGAATTGAGAACTTCATATGTAAAGATTACAATGAAAACACAATAGATAAAAGCACAAAAAGCTACAAAGGCTGATTGATAATGTAAATGTGAGAGGGAATTATCATGGGTAAACTTAACCTTTTCTTCATTTAAACCACACAGCACAGCCGGAGAGAAAACAATTGAAACTTTGAAATCTACTACATTTCCAACCCAATCTGTTTCCCCACTATAAAAAACAGTTCATAACATAAAAGGTTATTTTGTTCCATTATTTATTTTATTTCAATGGAAATACATGAGGATAATTTTGGCTTTCTGGCTAGAGGCAACCAACTACAGGCAATGTAACCCCATCTTTTATTTTGTTGTCTTACTTAAGAATAGAAATAACAGTATTAGTAGCTGACAACAAACTTGTGTACAAAATGGTGTGCTTCAGTTTGCCTGCTGGATTTTAACTTCCCAATACCATTCTTAACATTAACCTAGTGCTAACCTTTGCTCTTTCCCCCTCTCATACTTGCCCTTTCTAGTATAAGTGACTTCTCCACTGTAAGCTTCTGCTGTCAGAACAGTCTTTCCCCATTTATTCACTTCACCAGCTCAACATCTATTCCTGGATTTCTATTTCACCCTTCTTCTCCTATCTCCCATCCTTCTTTGCACCTGCTATTGGGTTTACATTGGCTAATACATCACACCGTGTCTTTCCAATTCTGTCTGGTTTTGATGTCAAAACGTATTGGATGAAGGACGATGCCAAGAACAATCACAACACATTAATAAGCAATATTTTGTTGATGCATGAATTATCATATTTAACATTGAAAAAAGTCCTGGGACACAATAAACTGTACTGTATAAAGCTCCATTGTATCACTGCAATATGTGGTTAGAGATGCAAAATGAAACTTAAAATTGCTAACGCTGATTTTTAGCCTTGCTGCTAAAAAAACCCAGAAGAAATGGGAAACAAAGGGATTAGCACTGTCCATGTCAAGAATGCCTGGAGTAAGTGTTTACTCAGCCCACTGAATTACAGGGGTATCTATGCGCAGCTAGTGATACAAAAGCACCTGGGGTGCCTTGACATTTTCCCATGACCTTCAAACATAATTCTAATGAATAAAAACGTATTAGGAATCATAGGCTGTTGCGGATAATTTTGGGATATTAAAGCTGCATTAATGCAAGTCCTACTCGGAAAAACACATGCAAGTGCTTTTTCTTCTTCTGTAGCAGTACCAGTAACCATCTATGTTTGTCACTACATGAAACAGAGTTCCTTCTTAAATGGCAAACACCACAGTTTTTCTGGAACTATCTTTCCTTCTTATCTTCTTTCCAAAGGGAAGAAAAATCTTACCTGCTTATTCTGTGTCAAAAAATACTTCAAGACTAAAACAAATTATTAAAGAGCCGTAACATAAATTGTGTTTCTTCATCTCCTCTACCAACAACACCATGATGTTTACGTTGTACATAATAATGCAATGATATATGAGATCATCAGCTTGGTAACTAAAAGCAGTTTCACTGTGCCTGTGATTGATAAACTATGGAAGTATTAAAACATTAAAAATGTTAATCTTTGTAATAATCTCCTGAAAAGTTTTTATATTAATTTAAACCATCGATCATTTTAATATTTAATCATTGCAGATTTCATTTGAAATGATAGCCATTCACTGAAAAGCACTTCATTTTTTATTTTAAAAAATGATCAGCTTGTATGCATTCTGTAAATCTCTTCACACTTTTTCCTTAATAAAAAGTAAACCTGCAAGCAAATGAGAAAATTTACAAGAGCAGAAAAATTTAAAGCAGAGTTCATGTCAGAAAACATGTACTTTCGCAGTCCTGTTTTACAGAAGTAACTGTATTACAACAGTAGTATCCTAAGAGGGTTGGAGGATTGAGGGAGACTTCTACTGTAAATGAAAATCATCAGCTTCTTTGTCTACACCTTACAACCATCTATGTTTCGTTCTCTTTATGTATCTCGTAACACGTAAACATAACAATTTAGTTATGAAGAATAAGTACTTAATAGAGCAACTCAGCTCTCCAAGATGATATTAAACTGGTTTAGGTTTTTTTTAACGTGTAACCCCATTTTGTAACATTAGCCTGCTTTAGCAACATATGAAGCCTTTCCAAAGCATCCTATCCTTGTCTATAACTCACAGCTTGTTTTGCCTAATAAAAAATTTATATTAATATGGAAATATCCCAAAGGAAAACAAAACCAAGAATTGCTGAGTTATGAGAAAAATCTTATGGAAACTCTAAAATTCCAACTGTGATTAATTATGACTAATCTGGATGGTATTTGTCTGGTTTCTTTTGAAAGAGTCTTAAAACTATCTAAGAAACAAAACTAATTCATGGTATCAAGAAACAAACTTCACAGAAAAATCCAAGGGAAATGTCTTCATTGCATTGCAAAAAAACCCTCATCTTGTTTTCTATGTAGTCTACTAAAACTCGATGCTTCCTGGAGGTACTGCCATAAAGTGCACTGAGCTTAAGTTGTCCTTTAAGACTGGGCTGCAGGATTTGGCTGAAACACTTGAACAAGTAAATCCTAGATATACACTGGGCAGTATCACAGCTTAATATATTAGCTTACATGACTAGTCTTCGTTTTGTATTTGTGACCAATAGCGAGTTAAAGGATTTTCCCATACCTGCTATAAAACTCGCACACAAATTGGCTTCCTTTTCTGAAGAGGCTGCAGAGTGTAATGGCAAGAGCTCTGAAGAAGTCGGGGAACTGGCAGAAGTGCATGTGGAATCTTCCAACGCATATAAACTTACTCTGTACAGTTCAAGTTTATGAAAATAAAAAAATCAGTAATAAAAGCACTGCCTTTGTTCTTGATTTTATGAAGAAAAGTATATATCTTGTTGCATATTACCTTTTGCTAAAGTCTGTTTTTAAGGAAAGATGTATGGAAAAATCCTGTTTATTCAATGTGATGCAGTAATTGAATTCAGGAACTCAGCTGCTTGCATCTGAAACAGAAGGGATAGTCTTGTTTTTATGGAACTTAATAGAAACATATATGTGTTTGTATGTGTATCGATACAAAATTTAAAGCTAATTATAACAGGAGTTTTGCCAACACTAACAGGAATCTCTGTTTTAGTAATCTGATTTGAAATAATCCTTCAAAACCTAGATATTTGAAGAGCTCCCACATCTGTGTTGAAACAACTGAGTATTTTCTATATTGCTTTTGCAGATACAAAATACTATTTTAAACAGACTAAGAAGTCAGTTGTAGAATATTGTTGTAATCTCTACTTGGTTAAATTAATAAATCAAATTCACAGAATTACAGGATCATTGATGTTGGAAGGGACCTCTTGAGGTCATCTACTTGGGCTCATCTACCCCTGCTCAAACAGGTTCAGCTAGAAGACTATACATAAATTATAAAATAAATTACGAAAAGGATTTACATATTGAAGCAAGAATAGCAGAAAAAAGTGAGCAGCTGCCCTTTCCTAAAAAAAAAAAAAAAAAGTCAACTGTTTGTACTGGTGTGATTAATTTATTTCAAAGTCAACACTTCTTCTTCGCTTTCTCTACACTCACACTTAGAGTACTGACCTGAAGTAGACTTACATCTTCACGGCTTCCATGAAGACAGAAGACAAGTCCTAGAAGGGTAAACTGTACTAATTCATGATCAGAGATAATCATGTCAACAAAAGCATCTGCCAAATTTTTCCTTAGTGAGCAGAGAAGCTATTTTCTGAACAACCAAGTCTGCCCATAGCCCGTTTCGTACCAAGACGTGAAGTGATTCAGGCAAGGAAGAGGTGCCAAATACTACTACTTAAGAAATGGTTCAATTGTTCAATTTTCCCCATGCTTGTAGATTGTTGTGCATCCCTTAAACATCACTTTCCACAATTTTCCACTATAGAAGTCATACATCAGTAGCAAAGGCTGGAAGAAAGTCAACACATCTTTATTAACACGTACCCTTCCATTGTAATTAGCTCTTTAGGAATGAGCCTGGTCCCCAACAGGAAAAGAACTTGAGCCCTCTATAACATGTAATTGAATTACTGTGTGTGAACGCGTGTGCTGTACATATAGTCCCGTTACACCACACGATCTTTTAAAGGGGCTTTCTGGTACTACGCTCTGTCTTCATAACTATGTAGGCTGACGTAAGGCAGAGCAGTTTGAGAGCCACACGAGTAGGCTGGCAGAAATCCCTGCTAACGCTTCACATTTAGAAATGTCGTGGCTCCCATTTTCTGTCCAGGATTTTCTGAGCGTAAGCACGACCAGTGCACTCTGCAGAAAACACAAAGGAGTCCAATGTACCCAGAACACATCACGCCTGCAAGGTAAACACAGCCAGCTCAACAAGCCCGGGTTTCATCTGATTTACTGCATACGCGCAGCCGGCCGACCACATACAGCCCCGTTACACCCCGCATGTGCAGTGGCTCCAACACGTCCCTGCCTCACTGCGCGCGGGGGGTCAGCCTACTCCACACACACACAGCGCAGCTGTTTGTCCAGCTCCCAGACACTGGGAAACCCCCCCACAGACAGGGTTTCACGCACACACCCCCAGCCACACCGTGCTGGCGGGCAGGAGCTGAGCTCGCGAGGGGCAGCCGTGGAGTGTCGTCGCTCAGAGACATTGCAAACTCCTGTCAGCTCCTGACAGCCCCCGGGCCAAGCCTCGAACGCAACCTTCGCTCAGGAGACCCCCTGGTAAGGGGTTTATTTCCCTCCAAATCGGCCAGTGGCAGCCTGGCGAAGGACCCAGCCGCCCTGCGGGCACGGGGGA